TTCCGTATACCGTAACCATGGACACAACACAACCCACTAACATTTACAAAGAAATCTATAAGTCACAACTCACGTCATACAGCTCCACAATCAAAAAACCGGTACATACCATGTCACCCGTAGAACTGCAATTGACTGTCAATAACCTCTCCATCAAACTCAAACACAAAGAATTACTCCTGGAACACTTCATGGACATAGCATTTAGACAATCACAACACCTCTCACTCACCGCTCAACACGACACTGTTCTCTGGGACCCTGTAATCTGCCCAAACCCCTCATCCTGCTCAACCCCACTCCAAAGCAATACCTCATGTATTGTGGTCCGACGAAAGGACCCGCCCCTCCTGGGCCGAGCTTTGCCTCCGTGCTCTTCCCGGAGCATCCAGCGCGCTGCCCGGTTCCGGATCCTTTGCTGCCTCCTCCAATCCCGGAGCCAACGGTGCCTGGCTGTCCAGTCCCAGACCATCATCCCCGGAGCCAGAGCAGCCTGGAGCAGAGGCGGCAAAACCGCAGAGCGTCCATGCCCACCCGCCGCAAGCTGGTCGAGGAGGCAGTCCGCAGGCGCTCCGTGGGCCCTCCAAGCTGTGACCCAGCGCGGAGCCCCAAGAGCCCGGACACTACGCGGGGCTTGGCTGACCCTGGGGCAGCCGTGGAGGGATCTCCACGTTCGAAGACAGCGCGGAGTCCTCCCGCGAATGCTGCCTCAGCCCCGGGAGACTCGCTGCGCCATGTAACGGTGAGTAGCCCCACAGACGCACGGTGCACAGCGCAGCAAACGCCGGGGCAACCGTGGGGGGATCCCCTCGCTCTAGCGCAGTGCGGAGTCCCCCTGTGAACGCTGTCCTGGCTCCGGAGGGGTCACTGCGCTCTGACGCAGCGCAGGACCCCTGCGTGAATGCTACCGCTCCCCCTGCGGATAACAACGCGCCGTCTGCTGCTGGAGGCTCCCCCTGCCTTGGCTCGGTGCGATGTCCTCCCACGACACCCCACGCCTCAGCCTCAGTCCCTCCAGAACCACATCGGTCTCCTGCACTCTGCTCCATCCCTCTGCTCTTCCCTCACGGCACCTGCTCACGCGCTCCTGGCCTCTCCCAGCCCGCTCCAGAGCCACCTCAGCGCCCCTCTCCTCCCATCACAGCCACTCCAGCGCCAGTCATAACACCCTCCCCACGACCTCTGTTTGCACCCACAACTCTTCTGGTGGGTGACTCAATTATCAAACGCTGCAGATTTTTTAATGCTTCCACTCACTGTTTCCCTGGAGCCACCGTCACCACGCTGCTGGACAAAATACCTGGACTGCTTAAAAACGCCCCATCTACAATAACCCGTCTTATCATTCACATCGGTTCCAATGACGCTTCATCCCGCCAGTCAGAAACCACAAAGCTCCATTTTAAAGATCTTTTTAATCTTTTATCAAGTTCAGGAAAATCTGTTTTTATCTCCGGCCCCCTACCCACTCTAAACCGAGGGGAGAAACGTTTTAGCAGGTTATTAGCTCTACACCTGGCTCAAATTCTCTTCAACCCTCCACAATTTTGGTTTTATTGACAATTTTAATTTATTCTGGCACCGCTCCTCCTTCTTCAGACCCGATGGACTCCATATCAACCCCCTTGGTAATCGTTTCCTCACATCCAACATCATCCACTCAGTACAGTCCCACACCACCTTCATCTGACTATCTGCCTCATCACCCTCCGCATCACCTCCTCTCTCCCCTTGTCACCGACCCAGCCCCTGCTCTTCCCCTCAGTCAATCCCTGTCATCTCCAGACCCCGACCCCACAGGACCTCCTCCAGGGAACTCTCCCTCCCCTGTCTCATCCCGGTTCCCCTTTGCTCCTCTACAGCCCCCACTTTGGACCCCTCACCTACAATCTTTGGACTTTTAAACATCAGATCCATCAACAATAAATCCTTCATCTGTCAGGACTTCATCACTCACAACAACCTGGACTTCATGATTTTAACAGAAACATGGCAAGTGCAAGGCGACTGCACCCCCCTCATTGAAGCGACCCCCCCGGACTACACCTTCCTCCACCAGCCACGCCTGTCAGGGAAGAGAGGGGGGGTTGCAGCTATTTTTAAGAACACTTTTAAATGCACTCCTGGTATCCAGAATGTTTCTACTTCATTTGAACACCTGTCTTTTATCATTTCTTGTAATATCCCTGTGTTTGTTTTAATTATTTATAGACCCCCTAAACCCAGCCCTGTTTTTATTCAAGAATTCTCTGATCTTTTATCCCAGTGTATGGCCCTCTACAACAAAGTCTTAATCCTAGGTGATTTTAACATTCATGTCTGCTGCCCCCTCAAACCACACCCTTTAACCTCTGACTTTATTGATTTAATCGAGTCTTTTAATCTCCTCCAAATAGTAAATGTCCCCACTCATTCTAAGGGCCATACAATGGATCTGGTTTTAATGTTTGGCCTCAGCGCAGGAAATGTCAACACCAAGGATATCTGTGTGTCTGACCACTTAGCTATTTTATTTGACGTTATTTTAGCCCCCCAGCCTGCCTCCAGCGGGTCATTTTATCACTCTCGTGTTTTTAACTCCACCTCTGCTCTTAAATTTTCCCAACTTTTTACCGCAGCTTCCTTGACTACTTTTAACCAACATTTTAGCCTGGAGGAGCAGGTCTCCTCCTTTTATCAGACATCACTTAGGATTTTAGACACCATTGCACCTTTTAAACAAAGAAACCCCACCAGAACACCACAACCATGGCTCAATGAAAATACTCGCACACTATTACGCACCTGCCGACAATATGAACGGAAATGGAAAAAGACACAACTCACAGTATTTCCCCTCGCCTGGAAAGACAGCCTCAAACAGTATCAACACGTAGTCAAGGAAGCAAGAACCTTATTTTATTCAAATACCATCAGTCAAAACATTTCAAATCCTAGAGTTTTATTTCAAGTTTTAAATTCTATCACAAACCCCAGTCCTGCTGTTTTTAATGATGCATCCACTGAGCTTTGTGAACAATTTTTAAATCATTTTATCAAAAAGATCACTGATATCCGGGCCCAAATATCTGCTCCCAGCCAAGCAATTTTTATAGACAGAGATCTCTGGATTTTAATTTTTTTTTTAATTGTTTTACTAATTTTATGTTTTTTTTTATCCCTTTCTCTTTTATCTGACATTTTATTCCACATGAAACCTACCACGTGCAGCCTCGATGTCATCCCCACCAAATTTCTCAAAGATGTTTTTAATGTGGTTGGACCCTCCATTTTATCAATCATTAATCAGTCCCTGGACCAAGGTCTTGTCCCATCCAGTTTTAAACATGCTGTGGTCCAGCCACTTTTAAAGAAGCCTAATTTAAGCACTACTGATTTTAACAATTTTAGACCCATTTCAAAACTTTTTTATCCAAAGTTTTAGAGAAAATTGTTTCAATTCAGATTTTAGATTTTATTAATGAGAACCACATCTTTGAGAAATTCCAATCAGGTTTTAAAGCACAACACAGTACAGAGACAGCCCTCCTTAGAGTTTTAAATGACCTTCTTTTAACCACAGACAGCGGAGGGTGCTCTATTTTAATTCTTTTAGACCTAAGCGCAGCCTTCGACACGATCGACCACAGGATTTTATTGGATCGCCTCAAAACGTGGGTTGGCATCAGAGATACTGCACTTGGCTGGTTTCATTCTTATCTTTTAGACAGAACCTTTGCGGTCACCATGGGTGATTTTACCTCCTCTACAGCCCCCATTACCTGTGGTGTGCCGCAAGGTTCTATTTTAGGTCCCATTTTATTTTCTATTTATATGCTCCCCCTAGGACACGTTATGGCCCGTCATAACGTGTCCTTCCACTGCTATGCGGACGACACACAGATCTACCTCCCGCTGAGACCAAACGACCCTGGAAGTCTGGCTGCTGTGGTCGACTGTTTTAACGATGTGAACCGTTGGATGGCCCACAACTTTCTACAGCTCAACACCTCCAAATCTGAAGTCCTCCTCATCAACCCGCCTCCATCTATATCCCACATCCAAACCCACCTCGGCCCCCTTTCCTCAAACATCACTCCCTCCGCCCGTAACCTTGGTGTCATTTTTGATTCTCACCTCACTTTCCGCTCCCACATCAATAAAACCACCCAAACCTGCTTCTATCACCTCCGCACAATCTCAAAGATTAAAAACATCCTCACTCCTCCCGATATCCATAAAGTTGTCAACGCCCTCATCTTCTCCCGCCTCGACTACTGCAACTCCCTCCTCTCCAATCTCGACGCTAAATCCCTCTCCCGCCTCCAACTGGTCCAGAACGCAGCAGCCAGACTTCTCACTGGTTTTAACAGAAGGGAGCTAAAACAGGGGTGATGACCCCTGTTTTAGCGTCTCTCCACTGGCTCCCTGTGCGTTTTAGAATTGATTTTAAGATTTTACTGATTACTTTTAAACTGATTACTTTTTTTGAGTCTCTTTTGTGTTTTGCTCTGTTTGCTTTGTGTTTCTGTATCTAATTATTTTGACCTTGCATTATGACTGTTTTTATTGTTTATTATGCTGACTGTGCAGCGCTTTGTAAACATTGTTTTTAAAAGTGCTATACAAATAATGATTATTATTATTATTATTGTGTGTGCGCGTTTTGTTTTCTTCGTCTTATAGCCCCGCCCACACCTGTGATGGAGGTCCCAAAACAGTCTATAGATGTCTAAAGCGTAAGACATTTTTTTGTCCTTGGTTAAAATTCAACTAGCAAATTCCAGCTACTTTAAATTCTGATATGATTACACTAAGAATTAAAGTGTTGAAATTACTTAAAAATGCATTATCGACCAACTATACTTTTGTTGCATAATAGCTCCAATCATTAATGTTAATCTGTGAGTAATTGGTAAATGTTGGCATTACAACAATACAATGATAGACATCCATCATTTAATTTCTTGCTGTAAACACAAGATACTTTAACACATACAGTATTGACTTCCTCTAAGTACCTCAAAAACAGTGAGAGCGAAGGGGTGTCCCAGATGATCGGTAGAAGACAGCAGAACTTTGCGATTGTCCCCGTTCAGGTCCACGCTGGACAGCAAGTGTAGCTTAGAATCCACCCAGTAGAGGCGTCTGTTGGACAAGTCTGGAGGACAAAAGCAGAGGGAATAATGTCCATCTAAGAAAATGAAGCAGGAGTGAAAGAAAAGCTAGCGACGTTAGTGAAAGAGGTCAAACAGTGAGTGAGAGAGAGACCAGGAATCAGAGGTATGTGAATGTGCAGCAGTAGTTACGCCATCAATCTCACCCTACGGGAGGCTGCGGTCAGAAAGTGTGAGTGCGCTACGGCTGCTTGACTTCACGGCCTCGAGCAAATTGATTGTTGGTTGCGCGGAAACTTAACAGCGTTTCAATTCTGACCTTTACAGTCTGATAGAAATATACAATCAAGTTTAAAAACCAATGCAGCTTTCTACAACACTTGAATCTGTCCGAGTACTTGCATGGTAGGCAGCAGTCAAAGATAGACAGCAGGGTTTTGTAACTACACTGCAAACAAATGTGTGTGTGTTTTTTTTTCTTAATTTGGGTGCATTTTTCCATCCATCCATTTTCTTCCCCTTTGTCCATTACTGGGTCGGCTGCCACCCAATTCACAGCGCACCAGCCTCTCACCGATCCTCCTGCAGATGGTGAGTTCGCAGGAGGATGGCTGCTCTGTTTGTGAGAGCACAGCCTTGGTCTTTCAGCGGAGGATTCAGGAAAAGTGGGGTTAAGTGTCTTGCCCAAGGACACAGCTACATCATCAGTGGGAGTTGGTGGAGAAGTTTCTTGAACCCACGACCTTCAGACTCAAAGGCCAAAGCTCTACCAACTGAGCCACTCTGACTGTCTGAAAACAAGATTTGCCAATGGGACAAAGCCATTTAGTCCTATTTTCAGAACTGCTGCTCTATTTTCTCATTCGAAGGTAGACATTTCTTGAATCTTTTTAAAACAAGATCATTTTGCTTGTCCCATTGGCAAATCTTGTTTTAAGGCAGTGATAATGTTTTCAAATTAAGATACATTTTGCCAAATTTGAGTAATTTTTCATCACTTTTCGCAGTGTACAACTTCCTGTCTTTCACCACTGTCAAACACATTTCAGCACACAACTGATCCAATGACATATTGACCAACCAAGAATTTTCATTACAAATTTGATTTATTTTTGTTTTCACCGGCACACACTACGATCCAACTTCCTTTGACGTTTGAATGGAGTGAATCAAATGAATACATCTGCCTCTAATGCAGCTCGTAGACACACCACAGTAGTTTTACACACAAGTGCCCTCTCAATCAGTGAGTCTGGTGAAATCAATATGAGAAAAACAACTCCCTCCTCTTTGCTCTCTACAGTGTGATCCGAGCCACCTCTCTCATTCCCTTCAAAATAATTTGTTTCCATACAGATGTGCGACTCTTCCATTGCTTTGAGTGCATGGGGCCACACTTTGGGCTCTCCTCGGGCAAGGGCAGTGCTCGGAAATTGGCTTGTGTGCCTTGGAGAGAGCTGCAAAGCATGATGGGAGGTATTGATGGCACGCGTCGTCTGGCTTATTAATTTGGTGGCAGTGTTGGGCAGCGTGATTGATGAGAGCCAGTGGAGCTATGACAATAAGAGGCACTCGGGGATTGTTACCACTCGAGATGGCTTTTTACTCCCTAATAATGCCTTTTCTCTTTCCGCTGCTGCCTCACTACTTTGTATTCATTGGAATTTCTGTCTCTGTCCAAAAAGAACATTGTAACTTTGTCCCAAGTTTCTGCAGAGTGGATTTTCTGTATTGCATAGTTTGCTGTACATTCAAATGAGGAACAACCACGGAGATCAGTGTCCATCTTGACAAGCTATTTGAAATGAAAGTCATTCAATGTTTGCAAGTTTTGGCCTAATCCGGTAATGAGAAGTCTTCCACATCGTGCAAACTTACCCAGCGTGATTCCGTTGGGCCACTCAATGTGCTCTGACACCAGGATCTGCCGGTCCACACCGTTCATGCCGGCCTTCTCGATTTTAGCCTGATCTCCCCAGTCCGACCAGTACAGGAATCTGTCCAAACACATTCACGGCATCATAACTCTTGTGGTATTTAAGCTGGGATACCCTTCATATTATCAGAAAACATGTAAACCTCTGCATACTTGTAAGTAAAAATCCCTGTGAGTCGCAATTGGACACTTTGGGTTAAAATATAATGGCTGAGTGAGGATCCTTTTCACCTTTCTGGCTAAAAAAAGCTGATCTATAAATGTGATTGAGGCCAAAATAACATGATTGTTAAAACTAGTGACGATCCCAAACCTTTTTGAGAGTAAAAAACTACTTAGATAGATATTTATAGGTTCTCCAGCGTTATCATTTTGCTAAGAGTTTTTTCCTCTAAGAATAAGTAAGAATAAGCAAGGCATATCTTTTTTAGAATTATTATAGTCTTAAGAATTATTTCATTACTTTCCCCATTTTCAATCAATTATATTTTAATATAAATCAAAATTCAGTATAAATTATCAGCCTATGTCACTCCATTCTCGACTGTACATTTAAAAAAAAAAAAAGATAATTTATTCATTTATTTGAAGTCAACATAGAACAAAACAAGCTTGTAACTGATGCGATGCAAAAATAATTTAAAGCTATTGCTAATTTTCACCTCCAGTCGCTTTCTGCACTATTATCTTAAAAAAATACCTGTATACACTGTTTCAATCATTTACAAACACAAACTCAGATAGATGCAGATAGTTAACACATCACCATTATTTTGCGGCTTCAGACAAAGTCAAAGCCTCTGGTGGCTGGTGGCTTCCTGTGGCTCAGAGAATAGACTTTAAAACAGCTCTGCTTGTGTACAAGTCTCTCCATGGCCTCGCACCAAAATATATTAGTGACATGTTAGTCCCATATGAACCAGCCCGGACTCTGAGGAGCACAGGGACTGGACTCCTGTTAGTGCCCAGAGTCAGAACTAAACATGGGGAGGCTGCTTTTCAGATTCATGCTGCTAAAATCTGGAACATTCTTCCTGAAGATGTGAGACAGGCCTCCTCTCTGACAATGTTTAAAACCAAGTTAAAGACGGTGCTGTTTAGCTGTGCATACAACTGAGGTATTTTATATCTTTATCTTTCTTTTTAATGTTCTGTGATTATTTATGATTTTAATGCTATCTTGTTCAGCACTTTGAGTTGCCTTGTGTATGAATTGTGCTATACAAATAAACTTGCCTTGCCTTGCCTTGCCTTGGTAGGGTTCAGAACTGTGCCCAATTCTACTTTACTCAGGAGATATTAATAATTTACCTGTGCAAGACCTCAGTTCACTTCATGAACTTTGAGATAGTATCTGATCACAGCAAGATTATTCTGTGATGGCACTAGTGCAACAAGGGACGTCATTATATGCACCCAAACAATATTCAGGCTTAAATCAACACAAAGTTCAGGATGAATGATCAATTATGCAGCGTATTGTGTTTATCGGATTGAGTTGACCATTTTAGAATAACTTACCATCTTTTTTCTCACAATATTATCTTATCTTATTATTATTTCAGATTATTACTTTAATGGTTTTTTTTATTTTGAAATACTACATGAGCTACTGTGACAACGCAATTTCCCTTGTGGATTAATAAAGTCTGTCTAAGTCCAAGTCTGCTCAGAGCAGCTCATTGAGATCTCAGACAGATACTATAAACTTATTTTTTGAGGTGTCCGTCAAAATCTCTAAAATCTATCATAACTGGCTCATTGCACCAACTTTCATCCTTCTATAGTCAGTGTTGTGCCAGTTCACAACTTTTCTGAACTAGTTCAAGTTCAGTTCATACATGCTCAAAGTGAACAGTTCACGTTCAAAGTTCACAATTTTAATTCTGAACTAGTTCAAAGTTCAGTTCATTTTATTCGTGTTTTTTCGTGAGATACTTAAATACATATGTTTTTCACACTACGAGCTATGAATATATATATATATATATATATATATATATATATATATATATATATATATATATATATATAATTTTATATATCTCCTGTACACCCACAGCAGGAGAGCCTTTTGACTACAAAACAGACCAGATTTACATGGTTTTCAATGGGAGCCAAATGGAGTTGCTCCATCTCTGCTCATAAACTACAGACAGTAATGCGCTGCAGTGCGTGTGTCTATACTTTATGTCAAATGTAAACTGTGTAAACTTTGTCGCTAACTCACCCTGTGTTTTCATCACGACTCGGGCACATGTGAAAAGCAGCAGCTCACAGCGCCGCACTACAACCATAAACTGTATATACCGCAACACGGAGTCGGGGTGCGTTCAAAGACGGTGGAAACCGTAGGAATTTTTATATTTCGGCGGAAAAAGTGCGAGAATACAGGGGGGAGGAACATTCTCTCGTTGCGTTTCAAAAGAGAAAACAGATTCCAACGTTCATAGTGATGTCTGCCGTTCATGACACATAAAATGAACTAATTCACGTTCAAGTTCTTTTTTAAAAAATGTGTTGCGTTCAGTTCAACGTTCACGAAAAAATGAGCGTGTTCAATGAACGCGTTCTTTTGAACTCGTTCACACACAACACTGTCTATAGTGTAGGAAAACTCTTTGATGCTTTCTTTCCTCCCCTCAATAAGTCGAGTGAGACAACTTTTGTCATGTTTTAGTTATGCTCTGCCTTCACAGCATAGTTTTTTATTTTATTTCCAAAACTGCATTTCTCCGCTCGCTCACCCGTGCTGCGGATCCACGGCGATGGCCCGCGGCTCGCTCAGCTCGGAGGCGATCAGAACTCTCTTCTTCCTTCCATCCACGGTTGCCACGGAGATGCTTTTGTTGCCCGAGTCGGTCCAGTAGATCTTCTTGTGGACCCAGTCGACGGCGAGGCCTTCCGGGGAGTGCAGCGAGTCGATCAGCGTCACCTGTTCAGATGATTCACTGGCTTTGTTGATGTACGCGCTGGAGGAAGCAGGCGCCCAAAGAGACGGAGAAGGAGAAAAAAAATAGAAAGAGATTTTACAGTTTGTGTTGTAGCAAAAGGTGACCTACTTTATACTTTGGGTTAAATGGATAGTGTAAATGTAGTGTTAGGGAGAACAACAATACATGCACAACTGAGTTTTCACAGATTTTGGCCATGTTATGGTTGTTGAAGTATGAATAATGTTTTTTGGTTCTTCTATACCAGACAATAAGTTAGCGATGTTATTATTACCTTGACCATTTTATGGTTTTTTCAACCATTTGTCACCTTTTGAGTCACTATATAGACTTGAATCTTGGAACTGAAATCTACCTCTTTGGGGGCATCTCACTTGGAGTTAGGCACTTTTACCATCAAACTGCATCTCAACCATTTGGTAAAGGACTATAAAAAAGTAATAGTCCGAAAAAAAGGAAAGAAATGGGGTTAAACAAATTAAATTATAAAAGTAAAATGTAGTCTTTCTGTTCTTAGTGTCCTACATCTTACATCTTAGAAAATAAAAATACAAAAATGAAAAAAAAAATAATACATTGCTTTCATGAGTGAACATTAACTTATTATTTTCTGGTATAGAAGAACCAATGCTGTGCCTACAACTGAGGGATTTTATATTTCATCTTTCATTTCAATGTACTGTGATTTGAATGCCTTGTCTGACTCTTTATCTTGTTTGGTTCAGCACTTTGAGTCGCCTTGTGTACGAATTGTGGTATACAAATAAACTTGCCTTGCCAAATAACCTTATTCTCCAAAGAAGACCGAGGAGTCTCATCTTTCCTTGCCCTTCCAGCTTTCGTTCTGTCATGATATTAGGCTAAACTTTGTGTATATTTGAAAAACCTGTTCAGATTGAATTGTGATCCATGAATACACACTGTCTAACACGCTCAGCCCTCGAACCGAGTCCAGCACCTATTACAGAGCAACATTTGATGTGTGCCGCATTCTTTCAGGTAGTCTCTCAAAAACAGCTGGTGGCCATTGAACACAGCTGTGAAAGGAAGCACTCTTTTCTCTATCATCCACTCACAAAACAATATCTCCCTTTGCTTTCACATCACTCCACATTGTTGCAAAAAATTGTATTCTCGTATTAAATCCAATAATGAAATGTAGGCCTGGTGTTGATGCAGTGAAACAGGAGGGGGTACAGATGGAGTAGGTGTTTTCATTAAGGCTGGTGCATAAAGCGAGATGAGGGGAGAGGGATTAGCCAGGCAGGGAAGCAGATTGTGCAGTTAATTGGCTGTGTTAGCACTCGCCATCACATGCATGTTCTATGGGGAAACGTCGTTCTTTTGTTACAGAGCGATGGTCATCTAGAGGCTAGTTCTGTGGCATGACTTTAACACGGACTACAGCTGCCAATGTGGAACAAAATGCCAAACTTGTTTCCCTTCTGCTTTCAACCATGTTATGTGATTGGGTTAGAGATTGTGGGTTAGAGATTGTGATTGTTCTTTCATAAAAATAAATAAACCTGAAGTGTGTATTTAGCTACATTTGAACTCAAAGCTGCAGCGTATTGGTTCGCAGTCCAAAGCCAGCCCAATCAGAGGGTAGCAGTGGGCTGAGGGACAGGCTGAGGGACAGGCTGAGGGACAGGCTGAGGGACAGGCTGAGGGACAGGCTGAGGGACAGGCTGTGGGACAGGCTGTGGGACAGGCTGTGGGACAGGCTGAGGGACAGGCTGAGGGACAGGCTGAGGGACAGGCTGAGGGACAGGCTGAGGGACAGGCTGTGGGACAGGCTGAGGGACAGGCTGACAGGCTGAGGGACAGGCTGAGGGACAGGCTGTGGGACAGGCTGAGGGACAGGCTGTGGCATAGGAATGACACCGCGCCAGAGTTGTGGACTTAAATGAACTTCAGACTTCAGAAACATGTGCAAGGAACAATGTGTGTCGCTTTCGGAATCCCTGGGAAGGTTTTTGTCCAAGTGAAGAAAGAAACTTTACAAGGAAAAGGAGAAGGCTGTGATGGTAGGTGCTTCATTAACCCAAAAATGGTTTGTTGATGGTTTGCATGACCTGTGTGAAGTTTTATGCCATGTCCACACGTAGCCGGGTGTTTTTAAAACAGAATATTTCTCCCCCTCCGTTTATAAAATAATTTGCATCCACACATAATCGAACATTTGCGTTTTCAATCAAAACATTCCAAACATGTGCGTCATCTGACGTCCTGCGTTAGGGAAAAACACAGAAGTGGGCGGAACTTCTGTAGCGGCGTTGTCATGTGGATGACAGGTTTAGCAGATGTGTGGACCGGGCCTTAAAACCTTCATCTGACCCACATGTGGCTAAAACACAGTTTGGAGTCTAAATGTTTTACCATCTTGTTTGCATATTCTGCTACAGCAAATGACTGGGGCTGACTGTCATATCCTTGTACTGTACATACATATTCATCTTTGCTTATGCTGCATACGCTGTTAAAATGAATTAAACCAGGCAAGTATTGAGAGCAATTCATTAGCTACTGACCGTCTTAAATGTTAGAAGGGTATAATTAGAGGACAACGTTGAGGCGTGGTGCTGCTCTCAAACCATATTAACTATGAAGTCATTTCCGGACAATAAGCCGCTACTTTTTCTAGGTCTTTAAACTCTGCGGCTTATATAAAGATGCGGCTAATATGGGTATTTTTATTGTGGTAGAGTTGTCAGGACACTTATTTATTGTCAAAATAGACAATAATCTTGTTGTGACCAGTCAAACATTTGTCTTTCTGCTAAATTACAACATGAAAACCTAGCATACACAACTGATTATCTTTTCAAATTTATGTGGTACATTTTCTATATCTACAACGCGCAGCTGTAGATTTCTTTCCACCAAAAAGCGTGATTTCTTGAGCCCAAACTCAGCGATGCAATAAACAGTTATTAGTGGATTCGACATTGTATGATTCAACTTAAAAATCCATGGATTAACAAATGGTCACTTGGAGCGACCACACAAACGACACACACATTCTTCACTCACTCTGGGCCCAACAGGCAGCAGGCAGAAGAATGAGGCAAAGACAGATGAGCCCAAACGAAGGGAGGAGATTGCATCTTTAATTGAGTATAATATCATTTGTGGCTAACATTTTCATCACGGGGGGAGTTAACAAGTGGCCGAGCTTCTGCATCCTTCCGCTCATGCCTTATAGTTTATTTGTTCAAAAACAATTAAAAGTCTAAAGGGAAAACAATTTTCTGTCAAGGTCAATGCTGCAAACAATGTCGCATTCGGTGCTCAGCTAATATCAATGTGTGAAGTACAGGAATTAAGTGTAAACCCCTAACCATAACCCCAAAGGTTGCAGACACAGGCTTTGATGATATCAAATGCAGTAATGCAAGTCTTCAGTCAAACAGCCTGACAACCAAAATGCAAGAAATACTACACAAAATCAAAAACAAAGGAATGCCATCACCTCGACATTACTTGTTATTCCCCTTCAAAGCTAGATTATTTTATAAATATTGCATTTGTTTATTCAGTGCATTTACAGATGTCCATCCATCCATTTTCTTCCCCTTAATCCATTTCTGGGTCTGGGGGGTGGCAGTCAGAGCTGCACCCAGTACACAGAGCACAAGCCCCTCACTGATCCTCCTGCATGTGGCGAGTCCACAGGAGCCTTGGTCTTTCAGCGGGGGCTTCAGGCAAAGTGGAGTTAAGTGTCTTGCCCAAGGACAAAACAACAGCAGACATCAGTGGGAATTTACAGATGTACTCAACGTCAGTAAACTCCAAGTTTTGGTCCAAAGTCGGCCGCCATAAAGCCCATTATTATGAGTTTTACTGAACGCAAAACGAGAGCTCCAACTTAATTCGTCCTTTCTCTGTTATCCGCCCTCCGGCTCTATCCGGCTGTGCTTGCGATTATTGTGATTATTGATGCGCTGAAATTACGCAGCATATGGCCCAGCTGTAAATGAGTAAAGCCTCTCTCAGTGGCCGTCAGCTATCGCCCATACTCCATCTCTATATATGCTTACGTGTGAAGGACAAACTTGGCCACCTTTTCCCTGTCAAAGTGATGACACAGGCCTGCAGGTGGGGACAGGTTGGTGAAGATAAGATAGATGTCTAAAGGGAGGAGTGACAGACGAACAGGCAGTGCTTTGGGAGGATGCTGTTAGTCCTTCAAAAGTCCTGATCCGTGCACTTACACACTCCATTAACCCGCCACTGGGGGCTTTTTATAACCAGTTTGTAAAAATAACAACGGGCTGAAATGGCGCAGTGAGAAAGTGGAGGTGAAAAGTGATGGGACCATGAGACAGATGAGTTATCGTGTAAGTAATAGTGGGTGTACATGATCGACTCCAACATGCACCACTGGTAATGTCTTGAAGTTGTATTTCTTTTTTTTTTTTTTTTTAATTACTTTTACAGGGACAGTATAGATTCTGTGAGACAATAGGTACTCATGGCTTGGCAGAAACTCTATTGAGATTCAGACTACTTCATTACACCTCACCAATAGGGAAAGTGACCAGGAATTAGACCGTTATGGGACAGGTTGGTTTTATCTTACTGATGATGTTTAGTAATCTTGAACCTCTTTGATTGTTCTCATGTTCTATCATATAATTGTGGGCTTCCAGTTCGAAGACCAGACTTGTAAATGATAGTGGGACAGATGCAGTTATGAGCCATGCAGGAGGACCTTCTAGTCGTCCCACGTAAATGATGTGGTTGAAAGTTACCTGTATATTTTGCGGTGGTAGAGGTCGCACCAGAACATCTTGTTGGAGGACACGTCCACGTCCAGAGCCACGGCGTTCTTCAGCGTGGGCACCAGCTGAGTGTACTCGCTCTTCAGCAGGTCGATACGCCGGATCTCGTGCCGATTGGTGAACATCAGGTACGGACTCTTCCCTGAACAAACATTGTAGATCAGTGAATAGCCTGGATTTGGTCAATCAATGACTAGTCAAGTTTGAGTTTAGTAAAAAAGTATTTGGAAAGTTTGTCAAGCACTTAATTCTATCCAATAAAATTATCCACGGTTATAAATTCTCTCAGTTGCTTGCACAGATAAACAATTTTTAACCTGGCGTGTCAGGGTCAGGGCTTATCTCACTGGTATACCATAGATTGGAACATCATGAACGTGAAGCGCTTCCTCCCCCTGTTTAGAGTCTTAAGGAACAGCCTTTTAGCTGATAGACTCAAAGGGAGTTTTTATTGCATTGTTCTAGCTGTAGAGTAAATGAAATGCTCAAAACAAAGAAAAGAAAGAAGACTGAGAAACAACACTCAACCTGCTTGTTCCAGGGGGAAATCCAAAACTAATAAAGAAAATCAATAATAAATTAAAGGAATCTATATATTAATTTTAGAAATATTTGCCAATAATTTGAGTTTAAATGATCTGGGAAAATGCATAAGCCTTGACACTTTGGGACAAAAAGAAAATATGGTTTTAGTGTTGCCTTTGTTCCCATGACAAATGTAATGTATATGCAACTGTATTTTGGGACAAAAACAATACTAGGCTCTGTCGCAGGTTGTGATGGTAGTTTTGTTAAAAAAAATTCAAACAGGAAAGCATCCTGTTTTCAAAAACACAAACACTTCATATTGCATCATAAACATAAGACTTATATTGTATAAAAAATGTATAAAAACTGACATAAAACCACATTCAGATTAAAACAGCATTGAGGGCTCAGCAGAGGCTCAACATTACTTAAAAAGCCCAAAGTGCTTCTATTTTTATCCAGACAAGAGCAGAGTGTGCTCTTCCAGGTGAGTATGCCCTGTTCAGCGCTCAGGGGAACAATGAGTCAGGAATGTGGAGAGCTCTAACGGGCCACAAGGTCATAGTGGGAAAATATGAAAAGCTATTATGAATAATAAATGATATGATACAGTAAGATGACTATAATTGAATAGTTCTCTCACATGATGTGTTTCTTTATGTCTGGGTGTATTTTATCTGTGGAAGTAACGTTTGCTATACACCAACTGGAACATTGTGGTCCAGATTGAGTTTCCTTCTCTCTGTCGTGTCACTGGGTGAGGGTCTTGGCTACGTCCCTCTGATTGTAGAAGAATCAACCAATGATTTGACTTGATGCTGGTAATGCTGTGTGACATCACTCTCAGCCTCTGCTCTGCCTGTGAACTAGCATGATAGAAGCTTGTAGCTGAAGGTAAGAGCAGTGGAGGCCCACCCACCCACCCTTGTGTCATTGCTGTAGGTGTTCTTTGGTTTAATATTGGTATTGTGTTACTATGTTAAGTGCCGTTAAATGTCCTCTCTATATATCTTTATTTGATGCCTAATTTATAACTAAAATTCATGTCATCCCAGCTCTGACTGCTGCCCCTGTGACTTGGTCTGATATAAAGAGAAATACAATTGATAGATGGGTGAATGATGAGCTTCTATTCCAGCGTCTCCAATGTACTCCTGCATTTACTCTTTATTTTGTTTACGTCTCGCAAGGTTCTGCCAACAGCAAAATGATCCTGATTAAAAGAGGGGCATATCCATCTCTGTGAAGATACAAGCACAAAGTAACCTGTTGCCCTTTCAACACAATTTAAATAGGATCCCAGCACCCAAAGCAGTTCTATCGAGTAATATTGATTTATTTTATTAAGAAGAGGTAATTACAGACACATGTCCATCACACCTCAGTGTTAAACAAAGGCCACAGCACCACTCCTGAGTCTGCACGTTCACAGTTTCACACCTCCAGGCTCCGCAGAGCTTCCCTTCAGCCCGGCTTTACCACAGCCGACTGCGCTCCATGAGAAAAAATATATGTGAGACTCTCACATGTGTTGGGCTCACATTCACTTTGCTTTGACAACTACCAGCTCTGCACAGTCTCCTGCAGCCCAGACGCTGGAGGATGATGGATGAAGAAGAGGCAGCAGTGAAATGAGAAGAGGGCAGGCTAATTAGGTATGGTATTAAAATCTTTCGACACAGTGGGAGCAGGTGGATAGTGCTTTAAATTTTCCACATGCTAGTCAAATTGAAGATACTAGTATAAACATCAAGATGGTAAAATAGTAGTAAAAGTATTCAAATTATTCCCTCTAACCTGGCTACACAATACAGGATTTTGATTTCAGCCCTCCACGAGTTCAGAAAGGCGCGGACCAACTAATGATTCTCGTTGGCAACATTTTTCATAACAATCGTTCGGTCTGGGAGGTCAGTGAATTCTGTCGCTACAGAGATAAACCCTCTGCCGTGCTGCCATAGTGACGCATGTGAAACTGTAGCACAAAAACACATTATATAAGTAGATGAATTAGCCGGAAGAGAAGGAATGACAGATTGGAACAATATTTGCTGCACACATACAGACCTGTTCAAACACCTGTTAAACCAGACTTTTATTTTTCAAGATCTGTTCGCTGCGTTTCAATGTCTCAAGGACAACATAATAATACTATTTAAAAGGATATTTTTTATGTGAACAGTGCTTCATAATGTATTATATGTGTAAACAAAATCTACTGACAAAACCACAGAATCACTGCTACAGTCATGTTTAAACAGCCGACAGACACAGACACAGACGCACACACATACGCAGAGACAGAGACACACACACACACAGAGAGACAGACATGCAGACAGACATACAGACACAGACAGACAGACACACACCTCATCAAGTCCTCAAACCTCATGAAGAAAAGAATGTTGTGTATCCATAATTGCCCTGGCTCAAAGTTCACTCGCAATAGTTTTGTTCTGCCCACAGACAGCTTCTGTTCTCACGGGAACAGAACTGTCCGTGGCAGACTGCCTCAGTTCCACGGTGTTGTGTAGCTAATTGTTTTACCAATTAGCCACACATGCCACGTAATTGGTAAAACAGCAAAGACCACAGGTGATCAAGGAGCTCTTTTACATATTCACAAGAAACTGATTATGTTCTTGGGCTGCATGCAAATTGTTTTAAGTCATTCTTCCTTTTTCTATAAAATTGACCATTTAAGAGACAAAGTGAATCCTGATTTGGTCAAGTTAACTTAAATACTCTGATGGCAAATGTAATTATGATTCCTACTGTATGTGAAATAACATATTACATTCATATTATCCTTATGTCTGCGGTCTATGTCACAATTTCAATTCTCCAGATGAAGCCAGCTCTCTACAGATATAATCCCCAGTCAGATTTGTGGAAATGTCAGCCATCAATGTTTCATACTTTTTTTTCCCTGTGCAATAAAAATAAGTTTTTAAAAAGAGAGAAAAAAGGATGTTGAAATGGTGCATCATTCTTTTAGCATTCACTGAAAAGGTTGAGAGTTCTAAAGCACAGTCGGTGTATTGACAAATCATGCCCCCTTGGTACCATAACCTCATGTGAGAATACATTGCTATAATAAATCTTCTTTAACTTGTTCCCTCGATTCACCCTTACAAGACAAATCTCAACTTTAAAAAGCTTTAGTCATGCCATATAACTTCTTAAGACTGCTTTCAAAAAAGAGCTAAATTATCTGAATTTATCAAGCCCAGCAGGCAATAGTCCACTCCAAGAATACAGCCTGAGAAATATTTTAATCTATGCTGCCAGTTTGGGGCCGCCTTTTGCGCCCTAAGTCAATTAAGATAATGCATTGAGGAAGATTAATATCACCGGGGGAATGCTGTCAGGCAATAGAGAGAAGAGATTTACAAAAGAAGTTTATTCTGTTTTACGGAAGAAAGACTCCAAATAATCTCAAATGTAAGACAATTTGGAATCGGGTAGATGAAACTGGATAAATTAGAATATCTGTCATATGGTGAAAACAAAAGAGGGGGCCAAAATGCTGAAATGCCAACACAATAATTTTACTTTTTAATTCTTTCAATTTTTGAAAATTCTAAACTTTAGATTTTTTTATGCCTCACACTTCTCTACTTTTGACTTTTTTGCACCGAGCCAAAGCAATTTCCTAATCTGTGTCTTCCTGTTACTTACATGGCAATAAAAATGATTCTGATTCTGATAACATGAGTCTAGGGAAAAAACAAACTTATCAATTCAAACAGAACCAGGAAAATTACAGACACAGACATTGGACCAGCAACAAATGAGCAAAAAGCACGATTACTAATACTAAATGGACTTTTGAACAATATTCTCATATTAGTTACACCTGTATGTACACAAAGTCTATACAACCGAAGCAGTGGGAAACTCCGGTTGTCAGTGTGTGGAGGTCATGCCAAAATTATTAGGACGAAATGATTGCATTGCTGAAGCCTGTCAATGGGGGAATAGGTGAGGCGTTACATAACACCTCATTAGACGTGGGGAGGTGGGAAAACTCCTGAGAAATTGTGAGCGTGTTAACTACAAAATATAAGCTTGTGCCCCCGCATGCTAATGTCGGCTCGTAACCTTTGGAGACATTTGTGCTCAAGTATGCGAGAATGAGTGCTGATGACGGCAGCATGAGATGATGCAAAATGGCAGAATGCACACTTTTTCTATTCTTACTGCTTCAAGCTGGAGTACCCAAATAATGTAACTAGGTTTATAAGGTAATCCAACTTCCTAGCTCTATAAAAACAGTTTTGTATAATCTCTGGTTTTCAAGTGCATGTATTTTCTGGCCTCTGTCATATGAAAAAATGTGCACAGCCAATCAGCTCTCATACCAAGGCGACCCCACTCTTAGGGTATGCAAAATAGGAAATGTTTGATAGTAATACTAATAATAGTTATAATGATAATACGTTTTTTTTTTTAAATAGCACTTTTTCGGACACAAAAAGTCTTTACATGTCATTCTTTCACTCCATACACAGTAGTGATAAACTACTACTGTAGCCACAGCTGCTCTGGGGTACACTGACGGAAACAAGGCAACCAGTATGTGCAACGTGGGTGAAGTGTCTTGCCTAA